GAGCAAACACGGGCCTCTAAAAACGTCAGAGTGGGGGATCAGGTACGCATCACTTGCTGACCGGTCACACCCGCCGTGTGCTCCTTGTCATGATCGGGCAAACGGAAAAAATCAGTAGACAATTCAATGTGAAAATATTTGCCTTTCAATTTGTATGAAAAACGTCATTCAACATTCGATTTAATGATAGATTGTATTTGCTGACAAGATCATTGTATCGACCATAAAATTTTTTGATATAATTGTTTCATCAACTTATTTGTCAGTATCTTGCCTCGTTTGAGAAATTGTTCGTACGTAGTGCATACTCTAGTATATTGAATCCACTGGGAATCAAACTCAGTATGAGGGTGATGATGGCATTTTGCTACATAAATAAGGGACTTTGACGATAGAAAAGCTGAAACCAACACGTTTCTCATAAATTTTTGTTGTAAGGTTAACATTAACGTCTTTTTCTAATGAAATATCCAAATATGAAACAGATGTTCTTCTCAAGAATCTTTTAGCCAGAAAAGACAAAAATTATATGAAGGCGTTCTAAGAACGATGGAGATTAAATTTTAAGTTATTTAAATCATTGTCCCTAGGGATAGGAGGGCGCCAAAATAAGGGTTCAAGATTTTATACAAGGGAACATAAAGGAAAAATCGTAGGAAATCTGTTTTTCAAGAACAACAAGGTGACCATTAGCCATGTTGATACATTCAGGCATCCTCTTGTTATTATCCCCTCGCGCAACTAGTTGCGGAGGGGATATAGCATCGCTACTGTGCGTATGTGTGTGTGTTAGTGTGTTAGTGTGTCCGTTACAGCTTCTGGCGAAGATTCAAAGAGAACCTTTAGACTATCAATTCTCAGCTTCCACATACTTATGTAGCATCGTAAAAGGACGAACCCTATTCATTTTCAATAAACCGGTGAAATATTTCTCAAAATATTGCGTTTTTACTACCTTCAAACCCTGAAATTTTATGTACGACTTGACAATACTCGCTTCCGCCTAATCAACCTTGGAAAATTCGGGTCGCTTCGATAGACTCGCTTCAGTGAGTTCACTCAACTGTATTAAATTTTTGCGTATTGTCTTATTATTGTGCGTATCTTGAGACAGTCTGTATGAATTAAGTTTCATCTCGGATGCTGAGTAATTGAAATAATATGATGAACGTCGCTGTTTCATTACCAAATTTCCACAGGTGTATGTTTACAACATGGAATTTATTCGTGAGGCACACGTAATTCCTGAAAGCTATAAAGACATTTTGCAAGTTTAGGTCTATGGTTTCAGTGACCTCTCAACGGCGGTATATTGTCATTTTTATTACGAAAAAATATTGTCTCCGTGGGTATTCTCAGATTTTATGCATACAGTATGCAACTTTGAGATATACCTAGTAGGAAGGTAAATTACTGAAACTTAGAGCATACGTGATATGTTTCTGTTAGGAATAAGGGAAACTGCCCAGTTACATATGCATGTTATCCCCCCCCCCCGGATGCTATGCACTTTGGTTTAAAAATGACCGCCCCCCCCCCCCGATGATTTTGTAAAAAAAAATAATTAGTGCTGCAACATATTTTATTTTCGTTACCTTATTTTAAACCTAACTAGATGATTGTATCTTCAGATCATTAACGTCCCTCTTGAGAATTTTTCTCTCGTATGGAGACATTGCCATTACCGGTGAAGTTCCTGCCGCGAGGGGATGCTCCGCTTAGTTTAGAATCAGAATACTTCAAGTCATGTCCTCGGGGCTTGGATGGGGCCACAATATGGGGTCGAATTTATATATTTTCGTATACAGATCTACATGTGCTAGTATTAGAATTTTTTTCCTCGGGATAAAAGATATATAATTATTCAAATTAATTTACATGCACCTCCGTATAATGTTGAATTAGATTTACTCATGGCACCTGGGGCTATAGTGTGAAGTCGCAAAAGGGGTTCAGAGTTAGACATGGGAATGTAGCAGTTTGATTATAGGTCTCTCAAACCACTTCTTGGGAAAAATTAGCGACCTACTAGGAATTTTGTGAAATTAATTATACATCAAAATCATTATATGTTGGGTTTCTATGTTTGTTATCAACTTAAGAGCTAGGTTAACTTTATCCGTAAAATGGCCTAGCGCATCTACCAAAGCTGACCAAGTCCCGATGCCCCATATTCGAACAATATAAAGAGACTTAGAGCTTTTATTTCCTACAAAAAGTTTCCTCTGAGAGTCCAGGTATTGAAAAGCAGGCTTTGTGAAATTACGATGTTCTTGAATTACATTTATGAAGAAAATGGGTGTATTTGAGTACCTTCAGCAAAGAATTAAAATATAAGCCCATCCCTCGATCCAAAAAATGAAACGTTGATTATAATCTTCTCAAACAGTTCTTCATTATATAATTGGATATTTTGGATAAGAGGTTGGAGTCTATGCAAAATATTGAAAAACAACTTAAAGTTTTGGCCATTTTCAAAGAAATTTTCAGGATTTGAGGATAATGACACAATTCATGACGCCATAATCCATCGACAAGCGAGAAAATTACGCCATTTTTGATTTTCAGTCACCAAAGGTTCAAGTAAAATTTAATGTATTTTCAAATAATACTGAGCAGCTTTGATTTGTCAAAAATTCACAGGGCCAAAAAAGGCCCTACTTGAACCTTGTTCTTTCTGCTTTGCAATATAGAGGAATATGAATATTAACAAGTTTAGAAATTACAAAAATTATCTTACTAAATGTTCTTTAATTTTTTCGGGGGGGGGGGGGGGCTAACAATTGCGAAATCAACACTTCAATTAGGAAAAAGGTACCTTTTTTGAATAGGGAATGAGGCCTTTGGACTTTGAATGGAGAGCCCTGCAGTGATTAAAATCAGACCCTTTAACCTGAATGGGGTCTCCTCAGGTCCTTGCGTCGCAATCCATGCCAGCAGATCAAAGGATCTGATTTTAATCAGATTGAGAAATGAAAAAAATGTGGAAAAAAAGGATCTTCTAAAAAATTAACAGCAGATGCCATACTGACCGTCTTCCTTGGAATACGGTATACAGATGTCATGTTCTAACTTTTGAATTTACCGGGTGGGAGTAAATACAAAATTTAAGTTGTCATGTTCTAAATTTTGTATTTACTCCCACCCGGTAAATTCAAAATTTAGAACATGACACAGAGTTGAAGTATTTTACAGTCTTCGAACTGTGCGCTTCTTCTTTTCTTTGATTGGTAGAAAATGCATGATGTGAAATTTTCAATAATTTCATTTGGTTGAAATGCTGTTCAAGGCAAGGGAGATATAGTTTTCTGGCGGTCTAACTTCGTACGACTTAACAACATTTCAAGATTTTCAATCTTTAAAAAATCGACAAAACGATCAAAAGAAAATTGCAATAAATGAAAACGACCAACTTTTTAGAGCATCTAATTATTATGTTTTTCTATATTTTCATGGTTAACAGAATATGTTCTTTTTATGCATGCAAACATTGAAAATTGTGTTTATTCTTTTTTCCTTCGTTTATCTGGTAGAGCTAATGTCTGTAAAAAGCTGTTAAAGATGTGTCATGTTGTAAATTTTGTATTTACTGCCACCCGGTAAATTCAAAACTTTTGAATAACAAAAATGTACTCAAAAGTTTTGAATTTACCGGGTGGCAGTAAATACAAAATTTACAACATGACAACTAAATTCAAAATTTACAACATGACAGATGTACAAAGCCAAGAACTTGGAAGAAAACTACAATACTGAAGAATAATACGGCATGATAGGCTTATACCAGTTTACTGTTTAAGTGTTGCTAAAGACGGCAAAGCTTTTTGAAAAAGCTATACTTGTTTAGTCAAATAGTTAGATAATTAACCAGCCCAATGTTTTGTTAATTAACCAGCCCAATGTTTTGTGCATTTGTTCAGACTATGAACCCGAGAACAGAGAACAGTGGAAATCCCTAGTCCTTGCCCTATGTGCCTCCGGGTGCAACAAGGACTAGGTAGGTAGGTATGAACCCCGATGCAAGAATGGGGTCGCAATGGGGGGGAGGGTGTAAAAGTTTTACGGGAATGGAAATGTTTTTAAAAATCATTTTCTCACATTGATATGCAAGCATGTACTAATAATTTTGGTAATGTATGTTCGAAGCATGTTTAAAGCCTCAGTTCCAAGAAAGGAGCTACAATTTGCGAACGGATTTTTATTTATAAAAAATTAATTAAACATATTGGCATTAAGAGAAAAATTGCCACAATTTGTACAATTGACAGTAAGGCATAAAATACTTTAACTTAATTTGTGAAATCTGCTGATCACAATGGTTTATTCATCTAAATATTCATTTGTTAGGAAGAGAAGGCCTCCATACCCCACCTTCAAATCATTTACTATACCTGGGTGTATGATCAGACGCGTATGATCAGTTTCAAATTCAAAATACAACTGTCGAATTACAGACTTGGAATACATGTGTAATTATGTATATTAGAAGACAAATTGTAGAACGGTTTGGATAATTTGCGTTTTATAATGTGAAAAAAATAGAAAGAAAAAAAAAACACTACAAACTCATAAAAAGTCAAAACTTTGATCGAAAACGGCTTATATAAAATATCGGTCGACATCAATGTCTGACGTATACACCGTTACTTTTTGGCCGCCTGACATTTCTCAAAGACACACACTTTCTTTGATTAAGCTTTAAAACACGGGCAAGGTTCTTTCCGCTTCTGCAGAAGACTGGTGAAAAAAACCACACATTATTTATTATTAATGATAAATAGTAGGTGACCTAATTCCTCTTTTATAATAGATCACTGATCTCAGTCAGGTCAATGTTTTCAACTTCCCATTAGGTGACGTCACAAAAGAACGATAACCTTGTTTTTCCCCCAAGGTCCTTAAGTCATTGCCATTTGTTTACTTGATTTTTTGTTGTTGTTAAAAGTTTGTAATCTAAATGTATCTGTGTTGTCAAAGATAAAAAACAAAGAAAGAAAATATTCAGAGTTATCATATATTTTAATAGTTTTTTAAAAAAAGAAAAATAAATTAAAATGGATATGACATATACTCATATGTTTACGACAATCAGAAATATACATAGTGACTATTCATTCTCATTTTCTGATACACAGGGCAGTGACAAGAAGGGTTGACGCACTGGAGGACATGAAATCTCAATATCGATTTCTTTCATCCCCAAAGATCTTCTTTTCACACACTTTTGTTGTAATTCACCAAAAGTCTAAGCATAGTTGAGTATAATGTATTTTTTTTACGGTGAGTTGACTGAACGCTCGCACCGTAAACGGCAGGTCAGCGATCCCTGGACGAATAATATCAAGGTCAATAACTCAACTATCTTAATCATCAAAATATGTTCATGTAGCTGTGAAGGGGAATAAAAGGTGCGCCTACCACGGCTCTCGACAAGAAATAATATCATACATGTATACATCTCAAGGAGTGTTGACAACATATTTCCGCATTCATGAAAACCACACACTCCATGGAATGATGGGTTAAAATAAGGACGCCCAGCGCCATATAAAGTCCACAAAATAAATAAAACAACAAATAAAAAATAGTCACTTCATGGAATTGCTATAAGTTTTGTAACATTTCTTTTAAAAGAACATCGATGTCCATATTTCCGTTGATATGCTTGCAGAAGAGATTTTCGATCATTTTACAGTTAATGCCATAAAGGGCAGGGAGGCAAAGCAGGACTCGACTGTAGTGAAGGTGGTCGTTTGGGCGGGTAGAGCGCGCATGCTCTTGCAGAAGCTGCTGGATTAATGTGTTCAGTTGTTCTACCTGATCTGGTCTATCTAAACCCACATATCCTGTTAAAACAAAAGTTAAAACATCTGAATGAACGTGACCAAACAGAGTAAGAGTAAATTATATCTGTATACATTTAAACTTAACAATAAGGTCAGCAGCACTAGGCCCGGTTGGTATCGACATTCGTAACAAACGTATGTACTTAAGTCCTGTTTACGCAAGTGGGATAGTCACGCTGGGGTTGTTTATTGATGAAATCGGGAAAATGCGTCAGTACAACCATTGACAAAACGGAATTGCGAGAGCTGTGGCTAGATACCGCAAGTTTATAGGTCCTGATTGCAATGTATGCAGTAGTCTGGCCATCAAGTTAAAGATCAATTTTATTCATAATTTTCTGTACAAGATAAAAATAAAGCATATTAAAACATTTATATATTTTTATGTTGCGTCCCTTAAAACCTTGAAATATAAAGGAGCGGTAGGTACCGAAATCCGGGTTAAAACCACCTCCTTTTTTGGCAGAGTATCAAATTCCAATTACAAAAAAAAGGCAAGGCGAGTTCTTTGTCCAAATTTCTTGTCGTCATATGATACACTAGTCAGTGGTTTTATGAGGTATTTACGTCAAGGGCAAATAATAAGAGGTATTCAATAACTTTTTTGTTCGAAAATACTGAAGGGCAAAGTAATTCTTTAACAACTAGAGTATATTTACACTTGAAATGTTTTTTGAATAGCATGCCAATCATCTATTTCCAGCACCAAAGATATCTTTTTGTTCACGATAACCTTGTTGCATTACAAAGGCCACCTGTCTTTCAGGATATTTAAAGATAGAATCTCGAACGAAAGGTACAGGGTTGCTATGAAAAAAGAAAGAAAGAAAAAGGTCAGATACAAATAAGAAACTCCATCAGGAACCCGGTATAAATGAATATCAATTATGCGTAAATTTGTTTACGAGGAAAATACTTTTGACTCTCTGAGTTAATACATTGACACCAGGGCGATGCCTCTTGATGGTAATGGGTTTTAAGGTCGACAAAGGCTTTTCGCAGTAGGGCTGAAAATCGGTGAGGAGGACATCGACTTTTGCAAAGATTACCAGTAATTATTAGGACCCAGGCTGGGGATGACGGAGGCCGTGGGCCCATTGCCAATAATTACCGTCAGTGGCCGACCTCATCGTATTGTTGCTGTAGCCATTGTGTTCGCAGCTTGGCCTTTGTCGGGTCATGTACTGATTTTGAACTCCAAATCATACTGAAGAATTTTGATGAACTTAAATGATGCTATGCAAATTTGGTATCACATTTTTCATTATATTTAGTGTCCATCGATTTTAGATTAGAGCAATCAGGGGTTGAACAAGCGGTCACTAACTGATGTCAGGTGTGGTCATTCGGCGGTCAGTTTCAGGGCAAAGTTAACGGTCTAACTTTGGACCAAGTTTGGGTCAGTATACTGCTGGCATTATCGAAAAGAAAAATGCTGATCAAATTTCTATAAATGTTAATAAAAAATTCAACTTACCAGAGTTAAACAAAACTGCCATTCTAAGGAAAGCATATTCTTTCTGATCAAGATTCATTGTTTGGCACTTGCGGATGAAGCCCTGAAGATTTTCGACTGATTTCATGGTCGGTTGGCTGGGTGGGGGGTCCTCTACCTCCTCACTTTGCTGCTCGGAATGAGTGGGGGTCACAGCAAACTGAAAGTTACTCTCTGACATGTACAACAGCAACAGCCGCGTCCAAGAATTCAAGATCAATGTCACTTTGTCATTGTGCGAAAGGTTGACAAATTCCGGAATGGATTTTGCAAATTGGATGATTTTCACAAGCCAGTCCGACACACGCGATCCCACGGGATACATATTTTTCTTGGCTAGTGTAACCGGTGTGGTTCCAGTGACTTGTACTCCTAAACAGCTTTCATTTTCGCTGTATTCACTGGCAGCGTCCTGTGTTTTACGGGAACCCGTTTGATTGTTTTTCCCAACACACAGTAAGTTCCTTAATAAAGAAAATCCTGCACTGTCCTTGTCCTCACCGCTAGGAGTATTATTTTCTTCCTTCAACACTTTGCAAGAAAGATCAATTGGCTCCTCTTGGCAAATTTCTGTTGAACAAGATGAAGCAGGCGATATCGAATGTCGAGGCGAGGGTGAGGGGCGTGGTGAGGCCATCAAATGTGGTGATGGCAAGTGGCGGGGGGATGAGCGGTGGGGGGATGAGATTGCAGGATATTGTGGAGACATTTGACGGGAAAATGGAACCTCCTGAGAAAACTGGAACGACTGGGGGGACCCGTTAGGTGGAGTCCTTGACGGAATGTTCAAGAATGTGTTAGGGGTGTGGGGACTCCTTCGGGGAGATGAGGCGCTATGGGGAGGGCTGAGTTGATAAGGTGACTTCCTGTGGGAAGTCAAGTGAGAATAGGCCGCAGGGACTTTTCCCAAGAGGACACTTTGCAAAGTGTTGCTCTGTTTTACTTCACAGTCCATTGGGGCGGAGGTATTTGATTGTAGCAAGTTTGGCTGATTCGGAGTAGAATCCATAGTGTAGAACAAATTGTGTCTTGGCATAAGTCTCTGCATTTTGTGAGGTTCGTATGACACGGGAGGGCAGGCACAGACTGATCCCCGATCATAACACTGAGACATAGTTCCAACAGTCAAGTCTGAAAAAGAGGAAACACAAATATGTAATTTGATTAGTTTCAACTTTAGCATCAAGTACAGTGTTACTCGTATACGAGCGCACACAATTTTGATTCCCACTCTCAGCGCCGGTTAAGTCGGTGACCTACTGGTCTACATTTTTTAACAACGGTGTTTCTCCAACAAAGCCATTGTCTGGCCAAACGGGAAACTGCTATTTTAAAAAGAAGATTTACTTAACAATTCCTTTTAGAAGAGGAGAAACCAATGATATAATAAAGGAAAATTATATTGTATAATTTATTTTGTTTACAAAACTCTTATTCGATATTATTTTTTTAAATTTGTTTGAAATTATAAAAATCAAAAGAAAAGAATAATTTTTTAAAATAAAACTTTTAAATAGCACATGAGGATAAAAAACTGCAATATTTATTTTCTGAAAATAAAAATAAAATAAGAATAAATACTGTGATAATATTTTAATTTAAAAAATACTTACCAAACATTTAGATGTAAATCGTTAAATAAATCTTAATCCCATGAAAAAATAATTTCAAATAAATATTTTCCAATATAATAAATATTATTAAACGTTGCAGTAATGTAATCCGCTATCCAACCGTCGCTGGCGCTGTCAATATCATAAATGACGAGTATGAGTTATTCTCTGTGTTTATAACGTCATAAAGTGCACTTGCCCTACTCCGATTCGCCCTCCGATGACCTTGGATTCCAGTACAACTTCCTTGAATAGGATATAATCTGACTACACTCTCTAAACAAGTGTCTTAAAAAATAACGAAAGATTCACAAACAATTCAACAATGGCAATTTATAAGATATAGCATGAAAGATATTATTGATTTTCAGAAGAAAGCGATAAAAAAATCATGTTTTATTTGAATATTAATGTTTGCTTTTGGTTTGAGATTACACTTCTTTCGATGACGTAGGTAACCTTGAATGATTAACAAAGTGCGAATAGCTGACCCAATTCCAGAAATAACCATGTCAGTGTATGAAAAATGAAGGTTAATCTACATTACCTTTAAATATCTTCATAAAGTAAATTAAATACTGAAATTTTTTTCTCTATATTTAGGTTTAAAAGGAAAAGTGTTTGCATTTGAAAAAAAAATCTGTCTTAATAAAACGCTTCAGTGATTAAATGCTACGCGGGATGATTTTACATTAAAAATATTTTTTCTCCTATAAACAAGGTTGTTTACACAACCGTGACCACTTAGCCCATCCCAAACAAATTTGCTCGTGTAAAAATATTTCACGATTGTTTACAAGTCTTCGTACGAAAAGTCGGTCAGTTGACCTGCGTTGACTCTTGCGCACGCTCACAAATATTTACGGCTCAGTTACAAGGCCGGAGACTCAACGAATTATTAGATCTAAATCAATAGTCTAACTCTTTATGTTTTTAATTGAAAATATATAATTTTTGAATGAATTCATATGGAAAAGCTTTGGGAATTTCATATAGATCTATGTATATATCTGAAATATTAAAAAAAAAATTAAAGGAAAAACGTTTTTTGTGCTAGATCTACTTGAAATTCAATAGAATTTATGTTAGAAAAGTGAAATCTGTTAAGGAGAGAGAGAGAGAGAGAGAGATGTGCTTTTATAAGATTATGTTTCCAACACTTGGAAAACATACACACAAATAAACCGAGACAACTCCCGCTGCATTTATTTCTTTCGGCCCAGTGACTGAAATGATCTATCCAGAGTTGTCGTTCCCATATGATAACTCTGGAAAGAGAATGTGAAATGGTAACTCTGGAAAGAGAATGTGAAATGATAAATAACCAAAGAAAGACAACCTATCAAGACAGCCACCATTCTGATTTTGTATGCCAACCGTATTGGACAAAAAAGTAACGCTGATGCTTAAGGTCAACACTAAAAAATGATGTTTGATGTACCCCGACCAACATACTGATACCTTATTAAAGGCAATCCGAACTTATGCAGAAAAAAATATAAATTGATTTTTGCATGTACTATCATTATGCCTCTTCTATTCCCAGTTTTTTTTTTTAAAATAAAAGTTTTGTACACATATCCGTTAAAAGGGGATGATAAGTCCTCACGGATATCACTTTCGAATTGTATATTGATAGCAGTGGGTTCACTGTATATATATATATATATATATATATATATATATATGTTTGAAATTTTCTGAAGAGGACCTTTCTGTAATAAAAAGTAAAACGTCTCATCATGTAATAAATTCAGATCTCTCTCTCCCTCTCAAAAAATGATAATCATATTTGAAAACTTCGTTATTTATATGCAAAAACCTGTGAATCATTTTTGATAATCCTGTAATTCATATGGGATAATCTTATGATTTATATGCGAAATTTTTAAAATTTGTATTCGAAAAAACTGTTAACTTATATTGTAAAAGTTATTTGTATGTAAAATGTGATACACATGTAGACGAAAACGAACAGTAATCAAGCTCAAACGTCCATTGAAACAATGCAACTGTGCAGCAGAGCAAAATTCGACCTCTAAACACATCAGAGGTGAGATCAGGTTCCATGGAGGAGAAAGCATGCCCTGTCGACCGGTCACATCTGCCGTGCGCTACTTGTCATGAGCGGACAAACGGAAAAATCTGTAGACAATTCAGTGTGAAAATAATGGCCTTACAATTTGTATGAAAAATGTCAGCTGTATTTGTTTACAAGGTCATTGTAAAACTCAATACTACACAAACAAAATTCAGGAAATAGGCAATGACTCGAAACAATTATTCAAGCTTACTTATAAAACTCCTGGGAAACACAAATGTGTCAGTCTTGCCTGAGCATGCCATCGAAATGGATTTTGCATCCAAATTTGGTTAATTTTTATTGGAAATATCCAGAAAATTAGAGAAAGTCTATGTTCTTCAAACAAGTTCTCGAACTGACATCAAGTTTGATGATAGGTATTAGGGCTGGGACGATACAACTTTTTCTCTATTGATACGTATCACGATATTTGAGCCACGATAAGATATGTAGAATTGGTTATAAAATGTCTTTTTTGTATTGTATTGAAATGAACAAAACATTTCTCCACAAATAAGAATAATTTATTCAAAGAAGTTGTATACCTGTTGTAAAAGAAAATAATGTTATACAAGTGGTGTTAATTATTAGGGCTGGGACGATATATCGATTCAATGTACGGATGATATGCATATTGATACGTATGAAGAAATATTATAACTAATGTGTTTCTTTGTTTACTTAACATTTTGGGTTAAATATATAATATTAACATGCTAAATATTAATATAGATATGAAATACATAATAATTAACACCACTTGTGTAAAATTATTTTCTTTTACAACAGGTATTCAACTTCTTTGAATTTATTCTTATTTGCGAAGAAATGTTTTGTTCATTTCAATACAAACAAGATGTGTTTGTGAAACACTGATGCCCCCGTATGGCAACTTATAGCAAAGGTTAAACTTTCTCAAATGCAAATCAAATATGTTGGTACCAAAAGTAAGGTCTTGTCTCGAGGAATAAACCTGTGAAATATGAAAGCTCTAGCAGCAACCATTGAATAGATATGGAAAAGGATAAAGTTTTTTCAAAGTATGTCAAACATCAAGGTCAAGGTCAAAATTAATAGAGCCCAAGGAAAGGCCTTCTCCTAAGAAATACACAGGTGTAATATAAAAGCCAAAGCACCAATCATTCAAACGTTATGACCAAGGTTAAAGTTTTCCAAAAGTAGGTCAAACTCCGAGGTCAAGGTCAAAGTTGTTGGCATTCAAAGAAAGGTCTTGTCACAAGGATTACATATGTGAAGTATGAAAGCCCTAGCACCAATTGTTCAAAAGTTATGGCCAAGGTTAAAGTTTTCCAAAAGTAGGTCAAACTCCAAGTTCAAGGTCAAAGGGTCAAAGTTGTTGGTATCCAAAGGAAGGTCTTGTCACAGGGATTACATATATGAAGTATGAAAGCCATAGCACTTACCGTTCAAAAGTAATGGCCAAGGTTAAAGTTTTTTTAAAAAGTAGGTCAAACTCCAAGGTCAAGGTCAAAGGGTCAAAGTTGTTGGTATCCAAAGGAAGGTCTTGCCACAAGGATTACATATGTGAAGTATGAAAGCCCTAGCACTAATTGCTCAAAAGTTATGGCCAAGGTTAAAGTTTGTTAAAATTTTGCAAAACTGGGTCAAACTCCAAGGTCAAGGTCAAATATGATGGTACCCAAAGAAAGGTCTTTTCACAAGGAATACACATGTGAAATATGAAAGCCATAGCTCTAACCAATCAAAAGTTATGGACAAGGTTAAAGTTTTTGCGGACAAACAAACAGACAGACAGAAAGATGGACGGACAGGGCAAAAACTATATACCCCCTAATCTTCGATACGGGGGCATAAAAAGACATTTTATAACCAATTCAACATACCATGATACATATCGTATCGTGGCTCAAATATCGTGATACGTATCGATATAGAAAAGGTTGTACCGTCCCAACCCTATTAATTATTATGTATTTCATATTAATATTAATATTTAGCGTATTTATATTATATATTTTACGTTTAAGGAAACATGAGCATATTACACCGAATCTCAAAACTCTTAATTGGTTACCTGTGGCATATCGAACAAAAATATAAAATCCTTTTGTATACCCTCAAGGCTTAACAGAAACTAGCCTCAACATAATCCAGGAACTGGTTCAAGTCTATACCGCCCACAGCGTGCACTTCGTTCTGGGGATTCATTGTGCTTTCTAAAGCCACGCACTCATACATGTAGTAGGCTGTATGGTGTTAGAAGGTTCGATGTATCCTCAGCCCGCTGGACCTTGGTGCGAACAGTCACTTGTTGTGAAACTTGTTCTAAAACACATCTCTTTATAAACTTGCTTTTGATTTATAATGTAACAAATAAGCATCCACTTAATTTTTATTTAAAAAAAAAACTTTAATTTTCATTCGTAGTATACGAATTTCAGTCTGGTATTATTTTCATGTCTTTTTAATTTATTTAATGTTCTTCGTTTTATATTGTACTTGTTTTGGCATGCTAGGATACATGTAATTGTATAATTAAATGAGGCGTTATATAAAAGTATAATAATAAGCAAAATATATTTGTTTTAAGAATTAAGCATCCTGTTGTTTCTACGATAGAATCTTCCGCTTCCTTCTTTGACAAAGTGCGAACGCGGTTGACCTGCATCTTGACCAATGTCAACCTGGCGACACCGTTCGTATCTACAGTCCAGAAGGATGGAAACCTGTGGAGTTAGTCAAAGCTTTGACTGTTTTTGCTTTTGAGGTATTCCATTAATCTGGAAGAGACAGTTTCTGGTTGGAAGGACGTCGGTTCCCGTAAGTTGTCACTTATTCGTAGTAAAGTTTTCGCACGTCGACCCATTACCCTCTGCATTGGTGATCCAATCTGCTCATCTAGCGGAGTGTTTCTTAAATCTCAGAGGCTCAAGTAAACATCATCAGTATGATTCGATCACTGCATTTCTTGAAGAGGTTTTTGTTAGCCTGTACAGCCTTTTGGATTGCGAAAACAAAGGTGAAGAGGTTATGCGCACAATACCATAATTAGCAATAAACGTCTTGAACTCTGCACATGTGTATTGGGGACCATTATCACTGATCAAGATGTCG